CTCCAACCAAGCCCTAAAACACTTTCCCGAGCAGGTGCTAACCTTTTTATCTATTATCTTCAACGCCTGCTTCAACCTTAGTTATTTTCCCACTACGTGGAAAGAGGCTACTGTGATTGGAATTCCCAAGCCAGGCAAGCCTCTCAACCTCCCCCTCCAGCCATCGCCCCATTAGCCTCCTCAAGGCAATGGGCAAGCTCTTCGAAAGAGTCATCCAAAGTCGAATGAGGCGCTACCTGTTTCCCACAGACGGCGACCCTCTTATCATTCCCCATCAATTCGGCTTCCGAGCCAAACACTCATGTCCCCAACAAGTTCACCGCATTGTGGAATATATCCTCAGCGGTTTCTATCCTCGTCGTCATAAGACCATCGCGGTCTTTTTCGATATAGCCAAAGCATTCGATAGAGTCTGGCACACAGGCCTTATCTACAAGCTCTATAAAATAGGTCTCCCCGATCGTCTAGTTCGTCTCGTGGCCTCCTATTTAAAACATCGTACCTTTCGTTTCAGACACGAAGGCACGCTCTCTTCACAGCGAACTATCAAGGCTGGTGTCCCCCAGGGCTCAGTACTTGCTCCTCTGCTGTACATCCTGTTCACCAACGACATTCCCATCCCGTCGAAAGGTGTTCAACTCTCCCTCTTTGCAGACGACACTGCCATCTACTGCAAAGGTGTCTCACTACCCTTCATACGGAACAAGATCCAAAAGTCAGTTGATGACCTAGGAGCTTGGTTCAAAAAATGGCGCATCGATGTGAACCCGGAGAAGAGCTCCGCCGTTCACTTCGATTATAAACGACGCCGTCTCAAAAACACTCCTCCAATACGTATGCTAGGGACCCCTGTCCCCTGGCATACGTCCGCCAAATATCTAGGTGTCACTCTAGACACAGGGCTTACTTTCAAGCCCCACGTCAAAAGAGTAACCCGTCACGCACGATTTTATCTGAGTAGGCTCAACAGTATGTTGGGCCGACACAGTAAAATGTCCCTTCGAAACAAGCGTACACTCTACAAGGTATGTATACGACCAGTCATGTCCTACGCGGGCCCCGTCTTTGCCCACGCAAACCCTAACATTTTAAATGAACTCCAAATAGTTCAGAACCTATTCTGTCGTCGAGCTGCGAACGCACCGTGGTACGTTCGTAATGCCGACCTTCATCGGGACTTAGAGCTCCCAACAATTCAACATTTCTTAAAAAACTCTCTGAGAACTTCTTCAAAGCCTCAGAGTCGCACCCAAACCATTTAATTCGTGAGGCAGCTTCTTATGCAGCCCCACCCCCCCTCTCGCTATCGTGTCCGCAGGCCGAGAAACTCTCTCTCGGACCCGCCTAATAAACTCTCAAACGACCTGAACTGTCTCCTGGCGGCTCAGGCCAACTCTAATTAAATAAAATTATTGTAATATCTGACATTAATTTGCCTTCGTAGGCACTCCCTCAGCGGCACTTAGCCGCCTGCGCCCTCTTTTCCCAAAAGAGGGTCGCTCATGATAAGGCACAATAGAGCTTAATCAGCCGGTTGCCTGTCCCTAAAGGCGGTTTTTAGGGGGTATCACTTAGGGTCCCCGGTAGGACAGTGAGTCCCCCATAACCACGATAGACCGGCTATCGTGGTATGCGTAATGCATTTTCCGCCTCCCTACGTACAGGGTAGCCCTTTAATTGCTTCGGGCGCAAAAAAAAAAAAAAAAAAAACTGTAACTGTATCGATCATAGTCTGGGTCTCTCGTTAGAGAGTAGTATGTTCCTTGGTCTGGGTCTGGTACTGTAGTAGCTTTGAACTGATTTAAATAGTTAAGTGAAGGAGCTTAGTGAATTTGTCGTAAAGTTCAGTTATTGAAGTTTAGTGTAAATATTTGACATTTATTTTATATTTTTTTTAATTTATTTTCTTCCAATTATACAATAAACGTTTTTAACATTTTTATGTGCCAAACTGCATTACAGTTTGTCGGCAGTAGTTCTCGTCTTACATGCTTATGTTTATACATATAATCTGAAGTATAATTTCTTATACATATACTAATATCTCCCAAAATCTATTTTATTATTTTATCTATACATATTTAGTACAAAGTTTGTTATGAGGTCCACATCAGCCAAATATCAAAATTGGTTCATTATTTTTTGATTTTTTTTATATACACACTGTTTATACACATATACACTAATTCAACACATACTCAAACAGCACACATCGCATATAGACTGCTAATTTTAACAGTACGTTACTCGTGGCCTGTGGCGTACCTTTATGGACACAATGATAGATAATGTTTTCTTAGGATATTTTTTAAATGATTTTTTGAGATAACTTTACTAAGCAAGTCCGGCGGCAGCTCGTTATGTAATTGCGGGATAACCCATCGTCTCGTGCGCATACCGAAGTAATTTTTAATTTTAGGTACTACATATTTTCCTTTTCTAGTGGATTGACGAGTTGGGTAGCCATATTCTCTTTCTACTTTAAACTCATTTTTATTATACTGTTCCATTATCAACTTTATTTTCACTTTTTTGTCTACAGGTAAATAATATTTTGGGCCAACACAACTGAAAAACAAAGTGTCCTCAAAGCGCAAAAAAAGTGTGTTAGATCGATGTTCGGTCTAAATCAGGATGATTCATGTGAACCGTACTTTCGCAAATATAAAATTCTGACTCTACCGTGTATGTATATATATGAGGTTGCAAACTTTGTTCGAAATAACCCAACTTATTTTGAAATGAATACTGCCGGAAGTCGTCGTGAAGGAACATTGAAAGTTAATCACAAATGTAAACCACTTCTTCGAAGAATGTGTGTAAATTGCATGGCACCAAAAATCTATAATAAAATCCCGTTAAATATACGATTAATTAATGATATCAAAAGATTTAAAACTGCGCTCAATGGCTTCCTTGTTGAAAAAGTGTACTATGACATAAGAATATTTTTTGATGACAAAATGTAAAAATATACTTCAATTTTGTTCATATACCTCTAAGGTGAAACATGGCTGTATCTTATAATAATTTTATATGTGACATCCTGTAATACCCATGCTTATGAATTAATAAATGTTTGATTTGATTTGATTTACAAATTTTGAAAAGTTTATTATATTCTTTATTACACTCACTTTTCACTTTATTATCTACTAGTATCTTTAACAACCTTGTTTGTAGTACTTTGATTTTATTTAAATACACTGGGAACGTAAGTCTATAGCTACCCAACCCGTAATCTATAGTTGTATCCGCAAGCGCATAGTACAGCAAATGTAACATACTTCTGCTTAGCCTAAATTTCAGGTGGTACAATTTACCCAATACACTACGTAATTTGTTACAGATTTGCTGAACATGTATACTCCATACAAAACTGGTATCTATAGTTAGTCCTAGGTATTTGTAGCATGAGACTTGTTCTAACTTCAGACATTTACAGTTATTTACATTGTTATTTCTGTGGAAACAATCGTAGGTATGCCCTTTAATTACAATGTCGGCATGCTTTTGTCGATTGTATGGCGAAGATATTAACATAAATTTAGTTTTGCTTATATTAATTATAATACCATTATCACGCGCCCATTTAATAATGTTGTCTAAGTCTTTGTGCATAACTATTTGTGTCGTCTTGGGATCTTTGTACGAGTACATTAGGCAAGTGTCATCAGCATACATATACATTTCACATGATCGTACTACTTTGCTCATTCCATTTACATGAATGATGTACCCTACTGGACCGAATACTAAGCCGGTTGGGACTCCATATTTGATTTTACCAAGGTCACTACTAGTTTCGCTAATGCGGACTTCTAACGTTCTGTCCTTTAATTAGTTGCGGAACCATAAGTTTGTGGGTCCTCGAATACCGCACTCTTCCATAGACTGCAGCAAGCCATCGTGGTCCAGTGTGTCAAAAGCTTTTTTAAAATCGATAAAAATAACACCTACTAGGTTTTGGTCATTAAGAGCGTTATTCACGTCGTCTGTAAATTTAGCTAAAGCCATGTCTGTGCTTCTTTTTGGCCTAAATCCATATTGTAAATCTGTAATAACATCATTATTTTCTAAGAATTCTGAAATTTGTTTGACAACAATTTTTTCGGTAATTTTATTGATTACATTAAGTATGGCGATGGGTCTATAGTTTGTGTATTCTTGATGCGATCCCTGCTTATAGACAGGTCTGATTATCGCCTTTTTTAGTTCTTCTGGGTAAACACTTTTTTTAATACACATATTAATAAAATTCGCTATAATAGGACTAATGACTTTTTTAATAAATTTTAAATCCTGAACTCTAATTCGATCTGACCCCGATGACTTGTTGCAGCTTAGTTTGTCTATAACTTTTATCACATCATCAGCTGATACCTTTTTATATCGGAAGCTCACGTTACACTCGTCTATGTATTCTTTTCTTTTTAAAAAGGTTTGGTTACACTTGTGTTTAATATTATCAATTTCGTCAGTAAACGTTTCGCAAAACTTATTACAGATTGTTTTCATAGATTTTTCATTTTTTATGTATATTTCAATAATGGTATCAGCTGATGTTTTATTTTTCCCGAGCCACTGGTTTATTTTTCCCCAAATTTTGCGCATATCCCCATTACAATTAATTATTTCTTTCTTTTTATAATCGTTTTTGGCTTTATTTATTAACTTTTGTACTTTATTTCTGTATCTAGTATACTCTAATCTAGAATTATTATTACTAGGGTTTGATTTCCACTTTCTGAACAAACTGTCTTTAATTTCAATCTTATTTAATAACGACTTACTAACCCAGGATTGATTTTCCCTTTTTTTCAACTGTATTTTTATTTGCGCTGAGTCATATATATTACAAAAAATTGTTTTGATTCTACTATATAAACTGATAGGGTCAACATAATTTAAAAGCTCAATCCAATATTGTTCACCTAACTTCTTCTCAATCGCTTTGTTATTCAAACTTGTTTTGCATACATTTTGCGGCATACGCTTACCTATAACAGCGGTGAGTCCCGTTAGGTAATGATCAGCTAATGGACTCGTAAGTAAATACGCTTGCACCTCTGACGCGCTCTCAGTTCTAACGAACACATGATCGATGCAAGTGGCTGTCCGTCGCTCCGCACTCACTGCCTCGCGGGTTATGTCTTGAATTCCACACTGTAATCCTCGTGATGATACCATATTAAGATAACTACAAGCGATATGGTCCAATTTATCTTCCAAAATATCAATATTGTAATCACCGAACATGATTATATCCCGACTAATCGGCACTCGTTGAATTACTCGTTCCAGTTCTTTTACAAACAGTTGTTTGTTTGTGTGAGGCGGTCTATATATCACTATAATATCAAGATCGTAGTTTCGTACTTTCAGCATGCCGTGTATCATTTCACAATGGCTACTACTTGTACTATGTATTTGAAAAGAAAGATTTTCTTTGATATAAATCACTATACCACCTCCTCTTTTGTTTTATCTAGTCCTTGAGTATAAGTTATATCCTTCTATGTTGTATAAATTTAACTCGTCGTTTTTTACATTAACTTCTGTTAGACAAATAACGTCTATGCTGTCTATGCAATTTTTTATTAGTGCTATTAATTGGTTAAAACGTTTCCTCAGTGAACATATATTTATATGTATTATATTTAGTGCATTTTTTTTTATGTTTTTGCCAGTCATTAATTTGTGTGTATTTCGTATATTCTATATCTTGGTACTGTGGATGCGGATCAAAGTTAGAAGACATCAATATGTATATTATATATATATATACATATATATATATATATATATATATATATATATATATATATATATATATATATATATATCGTATCTACTCTTGTTTCTTATTATCTAAAAAGGCCTTAATGTCACTCTGAGTGCGTATTTGATGGATTGTTTTTTACTGTATCATTCTTTCTAATTAATATTCTGGCATTCTGTATCCAAATATATTTATACAAGTCTTTTAATTCAGTCTTAACTTCCCAGAATAGACGTCGAAGATGCTGCGTTATATTTTCATTAATATAGATTCTCGTATTGTTATTGTTTTTAAATATTGCGCTATTAGTGATGGCATTTTTTCGGCACCCTATCCACTGGATTCGGTCTTCACGTGTTTGAAGTGTGACAATTATTGGCCTCGAGTCCTTCCCATCCTTTATCTTTCCCACTCTCCAAGCCTTGGTAATTTTTTCTGGACATAAATTCAATTCATCTGCAACCGCTCTGGCTATCTGTATGGTACTCATTCCTTCTGGTGTCTGGACATTTAACAGTTCTATGTTGCAATCCAGCCCCTTCTGTTCCAACATGCAGACACGTTCCTCTAAAGCCTTATTATATTTTTCCAGGTAAACATTTTTTTGGGCGATAGATCTTTTATTTTATTTTCCTGTATTTTGATGACGTTGTTCGCCTCCTCGATGGCGTTCTCCAGTTTTGAACATTTTTTGCCGAGATAATCCAATGAGTCGTCAACGACTTCATTAGTTTTCTGCAACTGGCATATTGTAATTTTTATATCTGACATATCTTTTTCAAAATTCCCGAAACGTGTTTCCTGTTGGTCTTTCATTTCTTTAAGAGTATGCATCATGATCTTCATTTCCTCACGTAATGAATCCATCGTTTCTTTTAGTGAGCTTAGCATGTTCTCCGTGCAACAGGCCGGTTTTTGTACCGCGGATATCTGTCCGGTGAATAATTCGCCCTCCAATTCATATACACGTTTCTTTCTAGGGTTAACCCATTCAGATAAAATTACATGTTTATCTGTCATTTTACTTACATTAGTATCAGAACCGTACATTATGATCTTTTCCTCTTCCGTCGGCATTAATGTTCGCTCCATTTAGGCCTAAATAGATGTTTCCGCTGGCTCTAAGCAAAAATAATGATTAATCTGGTGGGCGGAGTCAACCCTACGCACGCGCGTAGGTGGGGACTAGCTGCGCTTGCACTTATGTCGTAGCTCCTGTTATACTATTGTCTCTTCCTTATGATCCGTATTACACTTATTCTGTCCTTTTTTAACCGTTAACAAATGCCATACACACTTTACCAACAAGAAGAAACGTCCGAACGCTTTCGCGCAACCACGAGAACATATAGTTTAGTTAATTAATTATACACGGTGACACATCAATCGTAACGCCCATTCACTCTCCGTTGCTAGTTGCTACAATTGGGGCGAGCTTAGAACGAAAACATTACGACTGGTGTGCAGTGTACTGTGCCTATAAACTGCTATTTTAAAATATTAAGATAGTCACACTATAATATTAGTATAAATGTGAAAGTTTGTTTTTTAATATGTTTGGTACTTTAACGTGTTAAACGGCGAGATAGATTTGGATGAAATTTGGAAAAGAGAAAGCTTATACCCAGGGGATTATCTACCGCCGTGTCCAACGTATTTAAAGAAGTTTTCATTTCTAGAATTATGAAAGTCAAAAAAGGAATCTTTTTTTCCTCTGATCAACTGGGCGCTTTAAAGTTGGCAACATCACATCATCAACTCACTTCACGACTTCACGACTGACCCGCGACCACAGATTATTAACAAAGCGTGCCTATCAACATACATCAGTTCATGGAGGTTACAGAAAAGGAGAACGACCGCTGTAGAAAGTAGTATCCCGGAAATATGGACAAAATAAGTGAGATACCTCAATAAAAGCGGGCTGTTGTGCGCTAGATTGAAATGATCTATCAACGTTTAATATACGTGTATATAATATCATTCAAAGAAAATAACGAAACTATTATTATTGTGGGGTATCTATATAGTTTTCTCATCTAGTTGGGTTCTTTAAATATATAATTATAAATGAAAATGAAAAGATAAACATACATAAATATCAATAACATAAAATAAATATAAAAATACATAAATAAATAAAATCCCAACCAGATGGAGGCCCTCGGCAGGGGAGACCAAATGGCCGAGGGTTAGGGGGAAAGGGAAAGAAACCGGCGGACGATACGAGCGGTATCGAGGAGCACCGCCTTCTGCATTTGAGCCCGGAGCGGTCCGCCACGTAGTCCCAGTCGCCTCAGATGACCCGAGAGGCTGACTGGGATTAGCCCATTCGCAGAGACGACTACAGGAATAATTTCGGTCGGCAGACCAACCCACATGTTGGTCACCTCGTGAGCCAGGTCCAGATATTTTGTTTGCTTGTCTGATTCGGCTTTCACGAAGTTCTCGTTATACGGAATGGTAATGTCGACCAAAAAATATCCTTGACTGTGCCCGGTCCATCAGCACAATATCAGGCTTATTCGCAAGAATAGTCCTGTCTGTGATGATGGCCCGGTCCCAATAGAGCCTGGCGCGATCATTTTCGAGCACGGCTTCCGGCAAGTACTTGTAATACAGCAATTTCCGATCCACGAGACCGTATTTCAGAGCGAGCTCCTGGTGAAGAATTCTGGCTACTAGGTTGTGCCTGTGCAAGTACTCAGAGTTAGAAAGCGCCGAACAACCGGAGATGACATGCCTAAGTGACTCACCGGGATGGCGACTAGCTCGACAGATGTCCACGGTGCCATCCTTTAGGATGTATCTCCGATAGTTGTTGGTCTTAATAACCTGATCCTGTATTGCACAGACAAAACCCTCGGTTTCCCCCGAAGAGATCACCAAAGCGTAGCCAGTGGAGGGAGGCTACTGTGTCTACGAAAGGCTCATGTAGAGCCTTGTAGAACCTCCCGTGGAGCTCCTTCTCCTTCCATACGGTCTCCCGGTTGGAAATGCTAAGCACTGCTGGGTCCTGCCATTGCTCGTTGGCTAAGGATAGAGGGGTAAGCCCTTTATCACTAGAAATGACGTCATTATAGAATGGATCATCCGATCTCGCCAGGAAGTAATTACGGAGGCTGCACACTTCGCGATTATGCATGGTGAGCGCGCTCAGAAAACCACGTCCACCATGCTTTCGCGGCAAGTACAGCCTCATTACCTACGATCTCGGATGATGCATCCTATGGGACGTCATGGTAGTGCGGACTTTTCTATCCAGGGCGTTAAGTTCAGTCTGGGTCCACCTGAGTATGCCAAAGGTATACATGAGGACAGGCATGACCCAACCGTTATATGCGTGTGTCTTATTCACACCGGACAAAAGGCTGTTAAGCACTTTGGTCAAGCGTGCATAAAACACGTCGCAAACTGACTGTTTCATACCAGCCTCATCGATACCGATGTTCTGTGACATACCCAGGTATCGGTATGTTTCAGCCTCGGAAAGGGTCCTTAAGTTGACGGGCATAGATAAGTCTATGCCCTCAGAGTTAGCAACCCTTCCCCTTTCAACATGGAGGACCGAACACTTATCCGTTCCCAGCTCCATTCCAATAGAATTGCTAAATTCACAAGTGATGTTTAGCAATTCCATAAGATGGGAGCGACTGGAGGCGAATAACTTGAGGTCATCCATATAGAAAAGGTGGATCACTTTTGTACCTCCTTTCCGAAGCTGAAATCCCCTCCCGGAGCCCTCCAGTAAAGTACTGAGAGGGTTCAGGGAGAGGCAAAACCAGATTGGACTCAGACAATCGCCCTGGAAGATACCCCTTCTTATCCTTATGTGGTTCTCCGCAGCCATCATCCGCTCGCCCAGATAGCAAAGGATCGTACTCCATTGCCCCATACACTGCTCGAGGAAGTCTCCAACTGTACAGTCAATTTTGTACAGCTGGAGGACTCTCTTTAGCCATGTATGGGGCACCGAGGCGAATGCCTTTCTGTAGTCTACCCAGGTGGCGGAGAAATTCCGACGGTTGGGTTTCACCACTTTGCCAATGACCGCGTCAATGAGGAGTGGTTCCTTGGTTCCACGACCACCGCCCCGGCATCCATTTTGAGCGCGTGACATCACCTGATTTAGCTCCAGGTGACGAGTGATTCTCGCGCTCAAAATGGATGTCAGTGTCTTATATATGGTGGGTAGACACGTGATGGGACGGTATTTGCTCGAGTCTGTGGTATCCTGATCTTTAGGAACCAAATGAGTGATCCCAGTAGTGAAGAGGCTCGGGAGCGACTTCTGATCGAGAGCCTCTTGAAACTGTCGGGTGAGCACAGCGTGACACACTACGAACCCCTTCAGCCAGTAATGATGCAGCCCGTCGAGCCGCGGACTTTTCCAGTTCGGAGCCCTACGGACCGCCTCAGCCACGTCTTCAGGCGTTATGGTGAGGGGGTCCATAGGCGTAACACTTGCACTCTGGCTCGCCACAACTTCCATCCAAGGGCCCTCGCTGTGGTTTACGGGCTCTGACCACAGGCCACGCCAAAATGCGACAGTGTCGGCCTGATCCGGTCCTGGGCCCGCTCCACATACCTCTGGTCGCTCCAATGATTTATAGAGCCTCTTCTGATCACTCTGCAAGAGACGATTCTAGTTGAACCGCCTTGACCTCTCGCTAAATCGTCGAATCCGCTTCCCCCAAGCAGCGATTTTTTGCTTCAGGTCATCTATGCGCCCCGTTAGTTTTTGTGTGATATCCGGTTGGAACAAACTGATGTTTTTTCCCTGCAAACGCCATCCTAACGGTGCGCATAATCCTCGGTCTATTATTACCCGACCTGAAGCTTGTCAGTCTGCCGATAAGGGCCCTTGCCTTTGCGATACGGTCCTCAATTCTTTTTCTCCAGGCTGGGATGGCGCCACTTTTTTGAGTAGCACGTCCAACCACGGGAAGTTTGGCGCCAATAATACGGCATACTGCCAGTGCGGCGCCAAAAAGAATTGAATCCGTCTCGCAAAGGTCCCGGCTGGACTTCCAAATAGGTCACCAGCATTGGGTTAAGAGCCCGCACGACAGCCCGATTTCGCTTGCTAAGGGGTATGCGGGGGAAGTCGCGGTCGATTTTCGAGAGGCATGCTGCGCGTTTCCAGCATCGACTCTTCCAATATGATCCTCATTTTCTCTAGTTCGTGGGAGACTATTCCATCATCGTCTGAATTAGCCACAAATGGTATGTTGACGGCAGCATCCACATATGCAGTTTGTTGCGCATCTAGTGGCGCCGCATTGCCAGCCGTAGCATTTCCATTCGATGAAGGAATAGCCTCACGTCATAGTCGCTCGAGTTCGGCGTCACCAAATATGTTGGAGCGCAGGATGTACCTAACTCGGTCTGCCAGGTTTTGCTCAGTGACGGATAGAGATGGCTCCAGCTCTGCAAAAAAGCGATGCATCCGAGCCCGATACGCCAAACATCCAGTTTCTTCCCCTTTTGCCCTAAAATACGCCCGCAGTGCGTTGGTCTAAATCATTCATTGATTTAGACCAACGCATGCGACGTGCTCCACCAGTGGCGGGTGCCGCTTGCTGAGTCTGAGAAGACCCAGCCGACACCAAGCCTTCTGGTGGGGATGATGGATGCGGGGGGCTGCTAGGTGGTCTTGCAACACCCCGCGCTCGGCTGGCGGCCCGCATGCTGTCGCGTCCAGCGCCAGCTCCAGACGCGCCCTGGCGACCTCCAGGCAGCTGCCCTTTGCGCACTATCTTTTTTTCCATCATCCATAATATGGGCGTCCATTAACGGGAGACGCCCAGGCCCGGCACCGTATCGTGGACGGCCATAAGCACAAACGGGCCTTTGCACTCTGAATTCTGCCGAGGCACGGCGCTCACACCTCTCGCAAGGCGCTGACTGACTGCGTTGACGTAGCAGTTTGTAGTGTTATGCTTACATACATACTTACATATAATTTTACACTATTTTATTTTTATTTTTCCATTCTGTTTTTGATTTTCTACATTCACCTCAAAACTGGATATTTTGCATCACCTTTATTTCCATAGGATCCTGTAATATTTTTAATTCATAAGAACACAATAACAAATCATTTTCACTTCGTATTTTCACGTTATCAGCACTTTTTAAATCGGTGTCAATGGAGTCTACCTTTTTCGATCTTTTATTTAGTTCTCCGTAACTCATCAATTTCGGGTTTCGTGCGCGCTCTTGCGCTACCTTTTTTCCTATATAAATAATATCTCATTTTTCACTTAAATCTTGCCGTTTCTGTATTACGAGCTTAAAACCAAAATTTGACATGTTTTGACATCGTTGTTTATCTGGTTGTCGTGGCAATTTTTATTCAAATATTGTTACCGGCCTGATGTTTTTACTTCAAAAATACTCTTTTCTTCTTGGCCATTTACAAAAATTTGCTTTTAATTTAAATAATTTCAAATAATTTCTCGTTCTTATCCCAGATCCGTCAAAAAGTATAAAAGCCGAAGAATCGGCCGATAGAGGTCCTCACTTCAGCTTTGATACGAGAAGCACCTCTTAAAGGCTTTATCCGCACTGCCTCGGGATCTTGCAAGCCTTCTCCTGAAGTCGTCGCCTAGCCACGCCTACGCCTCCACCTATTAGTGCCCGCGCTATCTTCGGCCGCTGAGCGTGTTTGTCTCAAGCGCTGCGTGTTCCTACTCCAGACGCTGCGTGTCTACTCCGGACGCTGTGTGTGTCTACTCCGGACGTTGTGTTTGCCTACTTCAAGCGCCACGTGTACCTACTCCAGACGCTGCGTGTCTACTCCGGGTGCTGCGTGTATCTGCTCCGGGCGTTGCGTGGGCCTACTCCAAGCGCTGCGTGTACCTTCTCCAGACGCTGCATGTGCTTTCTCCAGATTCTGCGTGTACCTAGAGCAGGCGCTGCGCACCTATCATAGGCATAGCCTGTGCATACTTCGTTGCAGTATCTTTATTTTTGTTATTTTTTTTAATAATATTGTAAATCACTATCATCATTACAGCCCATCATCACCTTCATACCTTTTTTTATAAAAGAAACTGTAAATCTTTTCAAATTTTTAAATAATTTATTTTATTTTTGGTTGTTTTGTTGTAGTTAGGTTAGGTTATTTAGTTTTTAATTGTCGCTTCACGACAATTTGGCGCCCGACGTAAAAGTTCTTCTTTTCTTCACCTTAGCTACGCCTTATCCATTTCCTTTTGATTGAATTGCTTTCTCTTTCGTTCTTAACTCTTTATTTACTCATCCTTATCATATCTTCCAAATTCTAAAACAAAACTTCATCTAGTTTTTCAACTTATCTGGATTATATTTAGACCTACATATAACACTTACATTCATCACCTTAATATTTTTATTCTAGAGAACTTAAAGAGGTACTATCTTCCAAATTCTAAAACAAAACTTCATCTAGTTTTTCAACTTATCTGGATTACATTTAGACCTACATATAACACTTCACTTACATTCATCACTTTAATATTTTTATTCTAGAGGTACAATTTTTTATTAAATTTTTATTTCTTAAACTTAACACTTAATTATAACAATGAAACGGGTTATTAAGTACGAATTCCTTAACAAGGCCGAACTCGAATACGAAGTGAAGATTAGATGTGAGGAACCAGCTAATACTGTTTTGCTTCTAAAAAAACAGGTTTTGCGTTTAGTTGTGAATTCTCACCCTGAAGATATTCTGACTTCTCCAATTCCGATCGAGGATGACTTGTCTCAAATTGGTTCTACTTTGACTTACCTGGACTGTAAAATTGAAAAATTTTTACAAGGTGAAACCAAATACTTACGATTAATAGAAACTTTTATTAATCATGTTTTTTACAGATTGGAGCGAATAGATACTGACTTATATCCAGACTTTAAAGCTATTTTCGATACTTTGAAGATGAAATTTGACGCTATTACTAAACAATTCGAATCCTTGACTCCACCTCCAACTGAAAATGACTCTCCATCACTTGACCCTCCTGTTGACCCGATTGTCATGGAACCTCCTCTTGTTTCTCAAACATCTGTTACGATCCATACCCCGTATCCTTCACCACTACCTCAATCTTTTTCTCCAACTAACGTCTTCAAAGATCTGAAAAGACACACGTTTAATGGTAAAAGCTGTCCAAGATCCTTTCTTCAAAAACTTGAAGAATACTGCTTAGCTCGTGGCTTATCCAAAGACTTGTTGATCTCTCAAGCATTTGAAATTTTCACCGACAATGCTCTTCATTGGTTCAGATTTAAATATAATCAGAATCCAAACTTAACTTGGAACGAACTTTCCTCTTTATTAATCAAAGACTTTGGTGGTTTTGATTATGATTATAAACTTCTAGAAGCGATTAGGAACCGAACTCAAGGCCGTGATGAACCTATCGTCATCTATATTTCCATCATGTCTGGAATGTTCACTCGTCTTTCGAAGAAACTTTCTGAAACAGAACAATTGGAGATTATTTTGAGGAATATTCGCCCATGTTATTCAGTCTTCGTAGCTCTAAAAGACATTGACTCTATCGACTCTCTTCTGGCTACTTGCCAAAACTATGAAAAGTTCCTTGACAGAGACAAACAATTTAAAGAACCAAATGTACAACAAAGTCCTCTTATTTCTGAATTCAACTACAAGCATTCCACTTCAAGTTCAGTTGGCTCTTCAAATTCTTCTAATAACTCACAACCTTCTCCTCCCTTTATGAATAAATTCACTTCATCCTACAAATACCCTTCTAGACAAGTTAATAGTCTCTCTCAAACTAAAGCTCCTCAAGAAAGCTCTTTTTGTGTTCGCTGTCGTAAACAAGGTCATACTTTGAACACTTGTACTCAACCACGATTCGTGATTTGTTTCAAATGTGGTCTTAAAGGTTTTAAAACTGCAGATTGCCCTACTTGTTCTCCCAAACCACATACTAGTTCAAAAAACTAACTGCTGACTTGAAAAGTAACTTAAACTTTGATAATGACGATTGGGCTAGTTGGATTAAAACAATTCAAAACTTCTTTTCTTGTTACAAAATCTCTTCTACACTCTACTCCAAAGAACAAGATCTTAATCGTCCATTCGTTAATGTCAAAATTTATGACTTAACTTTATCTGGTTTACTAGATTCTGGCAGCTCAGTAACTATTCTGGGTAATAATTCTCATTTGGAAATTCTTAAACTGGGCTGTAAACTTTTCAAGTCAGATCTTATTAGTGTCTCTACTGCTAATAATCAAAAAGTTAATTCCTTGGGTTATTTTGACTTACCTGTTCATTTCAATAATCAAACTCATTTGATTAAAGCTTATGTTTTTCCGGAAATATTTCCTTCGCTAATACTAGGTATTGACTTTTGGAGAAAATTTAATCTGTTACCTAGTGTTTTATCTTCTCTTAACTTTACAGAATCTAAATGCTCTGCTATCGAAATTAAAGATATTAAAGTTTTACCTTATGAGCATTTAACTCCTAACCAAAAGGACATCGCTAACGACATCATCCAACGCTTCAAGACAATTTCTTTTGAAGAAAAAGGTATCCTGGGAAGCACACACTTAATCACCCACAAGATTGATACTGGTAATTCTCTTCCAATCAAACAAAGATGTTACAGACTGTCTCCTGAAAAACAAAAGGCGTTAATTAATGAAGTTGACAAGATGCTGGGATGGAACGTCATTGAACAATGCGAAAGTCCTTGGCTATCTCCAGTTCTCATCACTCCGAAGAAGAATGGTGAATGGCGTTTCTGCGTAGACAGCAGGAAGCTTAACTCAGTTACACGTCGTGATGCTTATAGTCTGCCACTAATAAGCGAAATTTTGGACAACCTGAAGAATGCCAAATTCTTATCAAGCATCGACATTGCGAAAGCATTTTGGGAGATTCCCTTGAATCCTGCTGATAAAGATAAAACTGCATTTTATGTACCTGGAAGAGGCATGTTTAGATTCAAGGTAATGCCTTTTGGTCTCTCTAACTCACCTGCAACTCTACAAAGATTAATGGATATGCTTTTTACTCCTGAATTTGAGAACAAGGTATTTTGCTATCTGGATGACATCGTTATTATTAGCGAGACTTTTGATGAACACATATCGCTTCTCATGAAAGTTCATGAAAAACTTTCATATGCTAATCTGACTATTAACTTTGAGAAGAGTCAATTCTTCAAGAAAGAACTGAAATACCTTGGTTTTCTAGTGGACGAGTATGGTCTACGTGCTGATCCAGATAAAATAAAAGCTATTTTAGAATATCCTGTACCTACTTGCAGAAAAGAAGTACGAAGATTCATAGGCACCTGCAGCTGGTTCAGAAGATTCATTCCAAACTTTAGCACCATTGCCTCTCCACTCAACCAACTAACCTGTTCCGGGAAGAACGCTCCTAAATTTTTATGGAATTCACAAGCTGCAGCTGCTTTTCCAGAAACTTAAAGAAGCTTTGGTAACTGCTCCTGTCCTTGCTTGCCCTAACTTCAAACTACCCTTCTCTGTACAT